AATAAAATTTTTTAAAAAATAAAATTTTAAAGATTTTAAATTTCTGAACTTAGTTAAAATTATAGCACATTTCCAAGAAAAATGAACCTTTTAAACAAGAAATGTGAATAAAATAATACCCAAATACACAAAAATGAAATTGTCCAAAATTAACTGTAAAGAAAAAAATCATTAAAGCATATATCTAGAAAAAATATTAGCTATGGAAGAACAAAGTTAAATAGCATCTTACTCCAAATTAGGAAAGAAAAAAAAAAAAAAAAAAGTGGGTAAGAAACTAGACTTATTTATTCAAAGGACTGAAAAAGAAAGAAAAAAAAAAATCTATCCTAACTGAATTTTATGCTTAGCAAACATACCTCTGAAAACTAAAAGTAAAATATTTTCCAGTTATACAAACTTGAAATATTCTAATACCTCCAGATATAACATATAGAAAATAACAAAGACCATAATTCAGAAGGCAAGAGAAGTTGCTGTATGGGCCTGGATAAAGAATAAAGAGCTCTCAAAATGGTAGTTATGCAGGACTATGTAAAATATATTTATAACTATGTATTAGACAAAGCCATTTAAAAGGTGTTTGAAGATTTCCACAAAACACTGTCAATCTTATGTCAGGTTATATACATATTTTTTCGTGTGTGTGTGTGTAAAAGACAAGGAAGAACTAACAAAGTCAATGGAAAATAGAAATATACTTAAAGTTTCTAATACTAGAAGAAAATATACAATGTCTTATAAGTAGATTGTAAGTCAAAGATATAGTATAAATCATAAAACAAAAATTAAAATTAAACAATATTGAGAAACACGCAGCTGAGTTCTCCATGGAGCCTGGGCCAATTTCTAGTTTTGATTCCACAGTGCTCAGAAAACACAAATGTGCACCCGCCCAGTCCAGCTGATAACCAGCCTGTGCTCACAGCTCCAAGAAGCGCAGAACCTGGCAAAGGCAGACCCTCCTTTGCTGCTTCCTGGCATTCGCTCCCCAAGGAAGACTGAGGTGTGGAAGCTGTATCCTCACAGTACCCAGAGCAGAACATTCACTCAGAAGAAGGCCCTGCTAGGCCCTCCAGATTTGCCACAGGCCTCCCAGCCTCCCAGCAAGCAGATCCCAGGCCCTAGGGTTCGCCTGAGCAGCGTCCAGAGACTTTGCCTCTCTCCCCGTGTCTTCTCAGCTGTCTTCAGCTTCCTGTCCAAGCACTGCTCGCACAGATGGCCTTCTGGACCCCTAACCACTGTGGACTTCACTCAGACTGGTAGGAAGGCAAGGGCTAGCTTGCGAGCAGTGCCTGCCTACGGTGAAAATAACAAGGATGCTGAGTCGGTCGTGTTACCAGCATGTTTATTTGGAGTTTATAAAATGGCTCTCGGCGTCCTCAGCTTACATTTTCAAATTTAATTCTAAGAACATACAACCTGGATCTACAAAAGCAAATTCATGTGAACTGTGGGAAACTAAAGCCCTGAGTATTTTTACTCAAGATTCACAGTCAATACGAAGACACACTTTTGGCAAACTCTCCTGGGACGAGGCAACTGGGGCAAGAAAGGTATGTTTATGCATTCACTCACCCACCCCACTTCTTCCCCATGAGGGTTCAGGAGGCAGTGAAGGCCCTGTCCTGTT